TGAGGCGGAAGGATCGCTGGAGCCCAGCAGGTCAAGGCTGCGGTGGCCGGAAGCGGCCACAGAACTCCAGTCTGGGTGACTGAGTGAGACTCCAACTCCAAAAAACAAAACAAAACAAAAAAAAAGCAAAACAAAACCACAAAAAAACTGCAGATAGGGAAGAGTGAAAAATGTAGAAGGGGAGGAGAAAAGGGGGGGAAAGAAGACAGAAAAAACAAAGGAGGAAAGACAGGGTGGAGTTATCCAAGGCAGGCTCCAAGGGGAAGCCCAAGAGGGCATATCTGAGGGGAAGGAGCAGGGGCAAGAGGCATGAAGCACCTTGACACTGAGGGCGACCAAGGCCCCATGACACTCAGAGCAGAAGCATACCTTCAGGTGAGCCAACCTTTCCTACCTGGGGAAGGAGGTCACCCTTGGACAGCAAGATTTCAGAGATCCTGAAAATGCCCCAATGTAGGCCCTATCTCTGCCCCAACACACCTACTTCAAATAAACAAAAGTCTCCTCCACAGGCCTGAAAGCCTCTGACCAGGATGAAGGCAGCTTAAACTCCAGGAAGCCCCCAAATCTAGCAGTGCTCAGGGACTTTTGGCTCTCTGTCCTCTCCTTACCACAGCCACAAGACCTAGCAGGTGCTCCTTGACTCCTCTCTGCTGCTGGGTAAATATCCCTTGGCAGTGGCATGGATGACACCATCCTAAACATGCAGATGAGCTTGTCACTGAGCAGGGAGAAGGTCACCCAGGTGGGACCTCTTGTCAGAGCAGAGCTGGCAGTAAGACAGGGCTAGAAAAGGGAGGTCTTTCTTGGACTTAAGGAAAGAAACATCACAAGAAATGGGTGGGTCAGCCCCAGGGACATCTTAGTGACCTTCAGAAAAAAATGCATATAGACTCCAACTTTTGGCCTGCCTGGGAGGCCATCACACCCGTACCTGGTGAATGTAAAATAACCTGGCCATTTCCCTCCAGGTCCTCTTGTGCTTCAATTCCCCATCCCAGTTAAATCCAAGCCTGCAAAAGCTCTGGACGTGAAGGTCATGGGACCTCACAAAATGACAGCTCGCCCTGGACGTGACTATCAGCTCAACAGTCACTCTCGACTCCCATGTGGAGATATGCACGATTTGATTTTTCAGATAAAGTCAGAGGGTGTGGCCATCCCCTCCTACCACTAACCATTCCAGAGTAAGCTTCAGCTTCAGAGAAACCCTGGTGGGGAGGGGTCATCAGCTGGACAAGCTGCACCCAGCATGTGTAGAGACCCTCAGGATGAGATAGAGTGAGACTCGAAGCAGGGACTCAGAACAATATAGACCACAAGAAAAGGGTCCAAAGGAACATCGGTTGTTCTCTGAGTCACAGTACTTCAGTTTATTGCCAGTTCTTTAATGAGGAAGAGCAGAAAATTGATAGCAAAACACTCTGAATAATCTTTAGTGTAAAGATCTCATTATAGTGTAGACTCAGTCATTCTTTTAAAAAGAAAAAAACCCTTTCCTTTGTATAAAGTCATAAGTGCAGTCTGTACCATGGTGGACATTGGAGACATAGTGGACCAGTTACAGACCCTGACTGCATGGAGTTTACGCTCCAATAGGAGAGATGGACATGACATGAGTGATCACACAAGTGCCACTGCAAGCTTTGATAAGCGAGATGAAGCACGAAGAGGTCAGTAAAGACAGTGTCAGGGGACTTTAGGGCCTGGGGGTCAGAGGCAAGTTCTTTGAGAGAACAATCGTACCCTGAAGGGGAGGGGGGTGCTGGCCCAGAGGAGAATAGCAGAAGATGGTGACAGGAATCATATGCTCAAGGCTTGTCGGAGGCGGGGAAAGGTGGGATGTGGTCCCCAAGCTGGAAGAGAACTGTGCCAGGAGCATCCTCAGTGGGATGGAGAACCTGGGAGGGGAGGGCATGAGTCAAACCCCCAGACCATGAGGGCCACGTTAGCATCTTCATTTTCTCCCAAATACAGGGCAAGCCATGGTAAGGATTTAGGCACACACGTGACATATTCTGATTTGTGTCTTTAATGGGTCATCCGTTGCAGTGTGGAAACCAAGTCTGGGGGACTAGAAAGAAAGAGAGAAGTCTACCGGGAAGGCTTTCAGCCTGGCCATTAGAGTCAAGGTCACGGTGAGCACAGCCACCTACAGAGACCTCTTTGCTGTTCTGGGCTGTAAAAGACTTGTGTCTATCTGGGGCACCTAAGCCATGGGAGAGATCCCTGAAGTTCCTCTAGCAGTAAAACTTTCTATTACTAAATTTGGCTGAATCGAAAGGTGTCAGAAAGATTATGAAAAGAGTGAATGGGTCTGACCCACTGAAATGAGTAGCTGGTGGGGAAGGGGTGATACTGAGAGCAGAGGGGCTACCTGAACTCAGGACAGCTGAGCAACAGAGGAATTGGGCAGTTAACAACCAAGTGACTTTAGTGATTTTATTAATAGTAGAGTTGAAGAATTTGGCTTAGGTCTATGGATAAACACTGCTCCAAATATTTCATAGCTGAACTCAGCCTGTCCTGACTGTAGCTGGTCCCATCACTGGAGCAAGTGCAGGACCCGTCCATTTAGAGGACAGGAAGGCAGAGGGGGGTTGCACAATGACCTTCTGGGGTCCTGAACACTTCTGCCTTTGTGGGCCTGTTCCTCAAGAAAAAAAAGAAAAAATCCACACAATATTGGCCAGGCACAGTGGCTCATGCCTGTAATCCCAGCAGTTTGGGAGGCTGTAGTGGGAGGGTCACTTGAGGCCAGGAGTTCAAGACCAGTTTGGGCAGCATAACAAAACCTTGGTCTCTGTACACACACAAAAAAATTCTTTTAAAGCCCCAATATTATATTTTACGACTGCATTGGTAATATATAGATAGAGATAGACACATATAGTTATATATAGTTATATTAAATCCAGGCTAGTTTGTGTTCATTGTCTTCTGATTTTAAAAGAAAACATTTTTGTGGCACCCAAAGGTGGATATGTCAGTCCTGCAGTGGGCAGATTTCAGGAATCACAGGCAACGGGTCCAGAGAGAGGAGAGGCGGATGTGAGGTGGGTGTACTGTTACTCTGGTAGGTCCCTGCCCTATGGAGACATGCTGGTTGTCCCTCCAGCACAGGCATCCCAACCAACACTTGGTCCTACGTGGCCAGATTTGTGGGCTGACGGACTCGAATTCCTACAGACCTATCCAACTGCACCAAGAGAAACAGTCTGGGAACTGAAAATCACATCACGTTGTCCAACCTTTGCAGCTCTTGGTGAATGTTCATTAAGATCTAATGCATAACTCATCCCACACTTCTAGGAAAGCCTGTTTCTTCCTAAGTGCCTCAAGCCCTGCAATTACTCTTTCTCCAAAACCCCTCAAATTCTGGCTCCAGTCCAACTTGTCTGTCTCGCTTCCCCAACTCTGTCTCTCATTTCCTCCCCACACATGCCCCACCTGCTCTCCACTCAGAAGAGCACAGAGACCAGCACAGACAGGAAAACACCCCCTGTCTGTGAGGAGATGGCATAGTGAAGGCTGAGAACCTGTTACCACATCAGTCTTTTCCCTGTCACAACTGCAAAATCTATAAGCCTTAAGAAATAAGCCGTCTTGTTACAATGACCATGTGGGATGTACTGATAGAAGTGCCCTTTGCAAAGATCTGCTGGTCAGGAAGATGCAGGAGAAGCAGTAAACCCGGGGGAGCAGGTGAGGTTCTAGAAAGTTCTGCACAGTTTCTTAGTCGGACACACGAAGAACTGCGGCTTGGGGACTTCATTTCGGTGCCCAGGTGGACACTTGCAGGGCAGAAGAAGGCCATGAATTCTCCAGCCTCCTGGTGGCAGAACTGATGGCTCATTCCTACAGGTGAATCAGAACTCAGAAAGGCCAAAATCAAGAACAGATTGTGTTACAGCAACTCAAAGTGGAAAAGAACAGATTGCAAAGCATCTGCAGAAGCTGCAGAGAGATTTGAAGAGCGCAGAGGCCTTTAGGCAACTGTGTCTCAAGGAGCCTTATATCTGTCTGAATGTCCTGTGACACGTGGACAAATATGTGTGTTAACAGCTGGTGCATTTAGATTCGAGCACATGGCCCCAGGATCAGGTCTCCAACCCTGCGAGGCTGCCAGGCTCCCAGCATAACCTGCACCTCCAGGGAAGACAAAGCTTCTCTGCTCAGACTGTGAGAAGCCTGTAGCTTTACATCTTTGGGAAAATGAAATTCAAGTCTGCTGGTAGTAAAGCAAGAGTTCCAGAAATATCTACCTCTAAGGTGTAAATGCTGATCTTCACATGTAAGGAATGACAGGTCACCACCATGCTGTTACAAACTTGGACGAAGAGCCCAAGGGCTGCAGTGGGATCTCCAGTTTTCGATCTTCCAGAATAGCTGGGGTTCCCTAAATAGACATTCCTACTCACCAGGGAGACTCTGTGTAGCTCCATTTGTTTGAAAAAGGTGTCAAAATAACCCAGACTAGTAACTGTCAGCACATCTCAGGAGGGTTGTGCTGGGTGTTCCTACCAAGTATGTCCCATCAGTGACAAAACAAAGCCAAACCAGCCAGTGTGACAGGAAGGCATCCAAGGGCAAGACCCTTACAGTTTTGGAAAACTTGATAGATAAATTGCCTGACATTTAAAAGCTGCAGTCTTTCTATTTCACATGTGGTAGAAACTGTATGACTCTTTTAGGATAGGCTATTCCAACGTTCCAGGGAAACAGAATTATTCTCTATCTCATGGGTGGTCGAGAATCAAGGCACGTGAAATTATAACTGGGAACTACATCGGTGCTGACTCGGGTGTGCAAAACCTGGGATTGTGCCTCTGCCTCTCGTGTGTAAGTTGGAGATTATTTCCCGACCTCAAAGATAATCATAAGATTAAAGGAACTAGTGCAGGTTGGCTTTCTGGTTGGCAGATACTCAAGTACTGAATAAAGGCTAACTATTACACAAATGTAAATGCGTGCACACACACCCCCACATGCATGCACACCTTATATCCATTTAATTGCTATCAGTCATACAAAAGTTCCTGTAGCAGTTCGGGACAGTGGCATTGGGACAGGACACACACCTTGGGCATTCCTGTCTGCGGTGCTGCCTGTCTTTGTTCCTGGTGTCTCTGCCAAGAGTTTTAAAGTCCTGTTTTGAGATTTGACCAGAGCCTTGCCGTGTTTCTTGTCTCGTATTCCTGCTTGTTTGCTCCCGTTCAGAGGGGCCGCCCTGAAGCCCAGGGGAGGAGAAGAGAATCACAGGAGGGAAGATGATCCGCTAACAGCTCAAAACGTTCCTGCCACCAGGTATAGTGGCTCACACCTGTAACCCCAGCATTTTGGAAGGTGGAGGCAAGATGATTACCTGAGCCCAGGGGGTCAAGACTCGTCTCGACAACCTGGCGAGACCTCATCTCTACAGTAATTCCTTTTTAATTTTAAAAATGTCTACAGCAAATTTAAAAATTAGCCAGGCATGGTGGCACGTGCCTATAGTTCCAGCTACTTGGAAGGCTGAAGCAAAAGGATCGCCTGAACCCAGAAGGTCGTGGCTGTGGTAGCCAAGAGCAAGCCACAGCACTCCAACCTGTGCGACAGAGTGACACTCAGACTCAATTTTTAAAAAGTTCCTGCTGCCCCAGAAATGAGTTTTTCCCCTAGTGTTTTATAGTTCCTATGAAGTGTTCATCTATGTCATCTATAAGCTTAAATCATGCCTGGAGTGTGGACCCCTCCCCTGATCTCCAGATTCCTGGATCCAACTGACATGTGAGCTTGGAGGCTGAACAGGCCACCTCCATTGAGCAGGTCCTGGGGAGGATGTGTGAGTCCCTTGCCCCATGTCGATGTTCTATCCCTGTCTTCCCAGCTGGCCAATGGCAGCACTGCCTGACCAGTAGTTCCAGCCAGAAATCTGCGACCCATCCTCCAGTCCTCTCCTTCCTCCACCCCCACCCATCTAATCTATCAACTGGTTTAGTCAGATCTACCTCCAGAATTCTTGTAAGTCTGTCCCTATCCCTCCAGCCCTGATGCCACCACCCTCCACCCTAGTCCAAGTCACCATCACCTTCAGCCCAGAGTATACAGAAATGACTTTGGATCTAGTCTCCCTCTGCCATTCTCCCAGCAAAATTTATCCTCACACATCCTCATAATATGAGGGGTCACACCCAAAAACAATTATCTTTTGGTGGGTGGGCCCATTATAGTAAGGGCTTCCCCTGCTAGGTAAGTGTTCTAGGAACCCATCGGTATCAGTGTAACAGCTAGCGTAGTGGTGAGAGGCTGCATTCGGCTTCAGTGAATTTTTTTTTTTAAAGATTCTTTCAACTTATTTGAACTTATTCTTTCAACTTGTATTTCATGATGGGTGATTTATGAGCACACCTGCTCACACCATGAGGAGTGTTCAGCAGTTTTTGACCAAAAACGGCCTGACCCCCATGTCCCACCCTCCTTATTCATCCGTTCTCACCCTGAGTAACTTTTTTTTATCCTCCCCAGAATGAAAAACTCCTCAAAGGGAAACGTTTTGCTGATGTGAAGCAAAAAACAGTAGAAGCACAAAAAGGCATCCAAGCCGGGCTCAGTGGCTCAGCCTGTAATCCCGTGCCTTTGGAAGGCTGAAGTGAGCGGATTGCCTGAGCCTGCAGGTTCGAGACCCGCCTGGGTAGTGAGACCTCATCTCTACAATAAATCAAAAAATCAGCCGGGCGTGGTAGCGCATGCCTGTAATTCCCGCTACTCGGAAGGCTGAGGTGGAGGGATCGCCGGAGCCCAGCAGGTCGAGGCTGCGGTGGCCGGGAGCAGCCACTGCACTCCAGTCTGGGCGACAGAGTGAGACTCCAACTCAAAAAAAAAAAAAAAAAAGGCATCCAAATTGATGAGTTCAGTAACTATTTTGAACTGTGTAAAAAGTGTCTCAATGGGTGTATTGCAACGAATGGAGAGGACTTTGAAAGTGACTGAAATTTAAATATGTGAGAATAGATATACAATTTTTAATAAATTCCAGGGTTTTTTGGCTCTCCCCTTGTACAGCGGAATGCTCTGCTAGGAATCACTTCCTGTTATATCCTCAAGATTCCCCATGGCTTCCCAACTGCTTAAGCCTCTAAGTGCCTCGTCCTGGCCACCATCATCTGCCTGACCGTCTCTCACCCGCGCCCTCCCATCATGCTGCCCTTTTTTCTGCTGTTTGGTCCTGTCAAGCTCTCTTCTTCCCCGGGGGCTGCTGTGCTTGCTGCTCCTCTCCCAGCCTTTTCCCGGGGCTTCTCGAGGACTCAGTGCAAAAGTATGTAGCACTGATGACCTAAAACGGACCTGGTCTCTTTAGTCACTTTGCATCACCTCACCCAGGCTGTCACATTGCTATTTCCTAAAGCGACTTTGTTTCTCTGGTTATTTATTATTAGAACAACCGCTATGTTAGAAATACATGGACAGCCGGGCACAGTGGATCACGCCTGTAATCCCAGCACTTTGGGAGGCTGAGGTAGGAGGATTATGTGGCAAAGCAAAACCCCATCTCTATAAAAAAAAAAAAAAGTTTTTTAAATTACCCGGATGTGGTGGCACGCCTGTAGTTCCAACTACTCGGGAAGCTAAGGCAGGAGGATACTTTGAGTCCAGGAGTTCAAGAATACAGTGAGCCAAGATTGCGCCACTGCACTCTAGCCTGGCAATAGAGTCAAACCCTATATATAAAGAAAGAAATACATGGCATTTTATCTGATACTTTACAATTCCCACAGAGTACGTGTGCACACACTCGACCCTAAACTCTATGAGAACAGGGATCTTGTCAGGAAAAAATTAATATTTTTGAATATTTATTTTGAATGAGTGAAGGATTTTATTTGATCATCACATTCCTGTCACTCATTCTTATGCAATTCATGTGCAAGAATGCAATAAACTGCAGAACTTGTAAATTTCTGAATCACAATATACAATTTCAAGTTTCCTTGCCTTTACCCAAATGGATCCCTCTGCTACAACGTGTCCTTTCTTTGTTTTTCTGGTGAACATCTGTTCATCCTCCAAAACCCTGTTCTGGCAAGGAGCACTCAGGGGATGAAGTAGCAAAACAGGGGAGTGGGCAGCCATACTGCCCAGTTGTCAGAACTAGGGACTTCAAGGCAGAGAGATCATTTGAAATTATAACAGTGGCACGGTCAAGAGATTATGTGGCATGAACCAGGGTGAGAGAAGAGAGGGAGGGGGAAGGATGGGGCCAGATATGGTAGCAGATGGACATGGTGTGTGTGTGTGTGTGTGTGTGTGTGTGTGTGTGTACGTGTGTAACAGAGAAAGAGGGAGGGAGGGAGGGAAGTGGGAAGGGTGGAGCCTTTAGGCTGAAGGCCTGGGGGCATGAGACTTCCCTCTCTCTCTCTCACTTGCTCCCACCCTTCATTCTCTACCTAGCAGCCAAAGCAATTTTTTAATATTTTATTTTATTTTATCTTATCTTATCTTATTGTAGAGACGGGGTCTTCCTCTGTTGTTCAGACTGGACTGCACTGGCACAATCATAGCTCACTACAGTTTCAAACTTCTGGGCTCAGATGATCCTTCTGCCTCAACCTCCTGAGTAGCTGGGACTATAGGTGTGTGCCCCCATGCTTGGCTTTTTTTTTTTTTTTTGCAGAGACAGCGTCTTGCTATGTTGTCCAGACTAGTCTCAAACTCCTGGTCTCTATTTGATCCTCTCATTTCAGCCTCCCAAGGCACTAGGATTACAGTTGTAAGCCACCATGCCTGACCAAAGCGATTTTTTAAAGCTTAAATTAGCTCCTGCCACCCTCTGCTCAAAGCCCTCCAATGTCCTGGTCAGTAATCCTAGGCAAAAAAAAGAAAAAAACTCCTCCAGTGGCTTTTCGCCATCTTTAGAAGCCTCAGCAAAACTCTTTCCAAGCCTACAAGGCCTCCCTACATAATTAGCCACTCACTGCCCCTCTAGCCTTATCTCCTGCCATGCATCCATCCGCAGCACAGAAAGGAATTAAAGACACACATGGCAGCAACTCTTCCACCTGTTGGTGTGATGTTGGGCAAGTTGCTTAACATCTATGTATCTCAGTTTCCATATCTACAAAGTGAAAATAATGATGATACTACTATACTGAGCTGTATATGTTGTAGGATTAAAGGAACCCCGAGAACAGTCTCTGGCACGTGGAAGCCTAGATCCACATTTGTGATTTCAAGTTATTTGATGTCTTAAAACCCTGAAATTTGAAGAAAAAACAAGTATGAAAAAGATCAAGAAGAGAGAATACACGAGGGGGACCCCCTAAAAACCTGGAATTATCTTTTGGAGGGCAGGTCCCTGGTAGCACAGGCTTCCCCCACTAGGTAAGTGTTCTAGGAACTCATCGGCATCTGCGTACCAGCTAGTGTTGTTGTGAGAGGATGTACTTGGCTTCAGCGAACTTCTCTTTGGAGATTCTTTGAATGCATTTGCCCATCTCACGATGGGTGGTTTACCAGTGCACCTGCCCACACCACACTAAATATTCAGCATGACTCCTGTGTCCCACCTTTCCTATCCATCTGATCTCACCTCCGAGTGACTTTTTTTTTTGTTTCCCTGCATGAAGAAAGTTCCTCAAAGGGAAACATTTTGCCGATGTGGAGGAGGTGAAACAAAATATGGCAGAAGCACTAAAAAGCATCCAAGTTGAGGAGTTCAAGAGCTGTTCTGAGCAGTGGAAAAAGCACCTCAATAGGTATATTGCATCAAAGAGTACTTTGAAGGTGACTGAAGTCAAAACATGTAAGAATAAATACACAATTTTTAATAAATGAATTCCAGTTTTGGGGGGTTCCCTTTGTACTTGCAGGTTACGATGATACTAATGAAGTTTTAAAGACACACTTTCGCAAAGTCTTTGGTTGTATGCCTGGTGGAATCACCCTCTGCTCTAACACAGGAAAAGCTCAAGGAAGAATTCAAGTCTCAGGAGTGCTGGTAGCATCGAAGTGATTTATAACTTGGTTCATTTTTTAAAATGATAATACGCTTGCCTGTAGTTATAGCTACTTGGAAGGCTGAGGTAGAAGGATCGCCTGAGCCCAGCAGGTTGAGGTGCGGTGGCCGTGAGCGTGCCTCTGCACTCCAGCCTAGGCAACGGAGTGAGACTCCTGCTCAAAACCAAAAATTATAATAAGCTGTTTAAAACTCACTTTTTATTTATGAGTCCCTGCTTTAAACACAGTTCCCCAAGGAAAACAGTCTTGGACGCCAAAGGGAACACTTAAAGGTGCCAGGTTCACTCACCCACTGGAGAGGAGGAGACAGCTCTGACCAAAGTTGAGGAGGCGGGCTTTGGGCGGGCCCTGGCAGGACCACTGTCTGGTGTGGCTATAAATCACCATAAATCACTGTAAGGCTGCTGCTGTCAGCTCCGGCTTCCCCAGGGTCGACAGGCATCCCAGGAATTACCCTAACATATCTGCTCTTTAAAAGAACAGAAAACAAAACAAATACTTTCCCACTGAAGGCCTTTTTTCCTTTGCATGATGCCTTCCCTTCCCAATTCTGATGAGCTGATTTTTTTTGTGAATGGAAGAAAGGTAAGTTTTCAACAAGATTAATATGAATTTTCACATACCAGGGATAAAAGCTGAATTTTGTTCGTTTGTTTGTTTTTTACTATGATCTCATTTTTTCTCTCTTTCACCTTCTCTTCTGTCTTTTTCAAGTCATATATAGTGGTATGACCTTGAACATGAGTTGTTAGTTCACGTTTTGGTGCAAAACTCTTAATATGTGGGGGCCCTTTGCTTGCTTTTTATTTTTCTTTTCACTCAGGAAGAAACTCTCATCTGTCATATTATAACGGGAGTGAATTCTGACAGCTGGGCTTTAGGACACGGGTGTGAACAGCTTTCATTCCCCCTTTGATTTGGTCACTGGCTTTACTTGAATTCACTAGCACTATTTTAATAGATGGTATATATGATATTGAGCATGATAATAGCATCAGTTCACCTGCCTGGGCAATGTGACAAGTAGGCCACTTTCCCCACTACAGAAGAGATATGTAGCATCACTGCTGCTTAGCTTGTGCCAGGCATTCTCAACCTTCTGTTTTAATGAGCAAAACAAATAAATGGAAAGTTTGAGGTAGCTGGGCACAGTGGCTTACATCTATAATCCCAACATTTTGAGAGGCTGAGGCAGAAAGATAGCTTGAGGCCAGGAGTTCAAGACCACCCTGGGTAACATGGTAAGACTCCCATCTCTACAAAAAAAAAAAAGCCAGATATGGCAACAGATAGCTATAATTCCAGCTACTCGAGAGGCTAAGGTGGGAGGATGGCTTAAGTCCAGGGGTTGGAGGCTTCTGTGAGCCAGGATCGTATCATGGCACTCCATCATGAGTGACAGAGCAAGACCTCGAGTCTCCAGAAAAAAAAGAAAGAAAGAGGCCAGACACAGTGGCTCACATCTGTCGTCCCAGAACTTTGGGAAGCAAAGGCGAGAGGACTGCTTGAGCCAGGAGTTTGAGACCATCCTGGGCAACATAATGAGACCGCACCTCTTATAAATAAATATTAGAATATATATGTATATAGAAAGAAATAAAAGTTTGAGGTGCATATCTAATTGTTTGATATAATTAGAAAAAAACTAGTAAAATAATAAAGTAGAAAACTATTTTAGAAAGTAATTTGTTGTAATGCATTTCTTCTCAAGCCTCAGCTGTACTAGATTACTGATGTTCTTTCCAAAGGAAGAACTAAAACTTTAATAGAGGTCAAAATTCTTGAAATATTGCCTGTCTAGTGGCACCAAAAAAGGTCATTTTAAGAAAACGTATGAACAAATAAAAAGTGAAGGAGAAAAAAGGAGCCAAGACAACCCTGTGTTAGCAATCCTGAGAGGCCTGCAACCAACTGGAACATCAAGCGAATGATAGCCGAGTAACAGTTTGCCGTGATTCAAAAGCTCAGGACTTTTCTAAGGGCAAGGAGAAGAGCCTTTACTGTTTTGCCTTTGTCAATGAATAAAACCGTTTATCCTTCAGTATTATATTAGAATGATCATTCCCCTTATAGGTTTCCAAACTTTTTGAGCTTAAAGCTGATATTTTGGTGTTTTTACCCCTTTCTGTTTTACAAATTTCCAAGACAAGTTGCAGGTGGCAAAGGAAGGGAAAATACAGACAAATCTTTGAAGAAATTGTTGTGCTTTTTCCCTCTTTTAGACCCAGGGGCACAGACTGAGGAAGACACACCTTCCGTCAACAGCACCACATCTCATTTTTCCTTTTTATTTTCTACCTTCTTTATTTCCCTTCCCCATATGCATCCTGTCTTGTGCATTTTAAATCTCTATTCTTCCCTTGTGTTTTCAGTATGGTTACTTAGAAATGCAAATGTACCCTTGAAGTATACACAGTGTGTGTGTGTGTGTGTGTGTGTGTGTGTGCGCGCGCGCACACGCGCGCACGCTCTTCACTCACACAAATGGGGCTGCGATGTTTAAACTCCCTTTTTCTTCCCCTGTGACTCGGCATCATTTGTGAGATGTCCCCCTGGCTCTTTGAATGCCTGGCTCCTGACTCTCTAGTGCACAGCTCTCCAGGATGGACATGCCCTTCCTCTGTGTATTTCATGCCCTGGTGATGAGCAGGGAGCCCGCATCAGTCCCTCGCTTCCCCAGAATGCTGCAGCAGGCGTCCTACCTTGAGTCTCCCCAGCGACATTGGCAAGAGAATCTCTGTGTGCATTTGCAACAGACAGATCCCATGGGTTCAGCCATCTGGCTCTCCATCAAGTGGCACGCCCCACAATCTATTACACCACAGGTGCTGTTTGATGAGCCAGTGATTGATACAATCAGGCTTTGTAACTTTTGCTAATCCAACTGGCATGAGGCGTTGTCACACTGTTGCTTTTATGGGCATCTGTCTCTCTGATGATGTGTGAGCTTGCTCCTCTTTCCATGTGCTTACTAAAGCATATCTATCTCCCAAGTGCAGCATTTTTCATGTGATTACTGAAAACTGTTTTAAGTGGCCGAGAGTATGATACATGTGATATGTCAGAACCTCAGTGGGTAGTCAGCCTCTGATGACTTTTTCAAAGTCTAGTCTGGCTTTTCTCCTTCTTCATTTGGAACTCGGTCATGTTTCTGTGCTCTTTGGGCCTAAAGCATAGTCATGACTGGAATCAAGTGTACATTGGTTGGGCTGCCAAGGTGATCGGGAAATGTTTACTGTTTACTGGAATGTTGTACCCAATGCATCAATGTCATTGTAGCACAGAATAGTGTCATCAAGCCATGTTCCCCCAACATGGGGGAGACAGGAAGGTGTGGAAGTCCTGGCTCTCCCACCATCATCCCCTACCCTCCACCTTGTTCCCACCTTGAGATAATTCCCCCCACCATACAATTATGGTGTTAAAGAAAGTACAGGCCAGGCTCACACCTGTAATTCCAGCCCTCTGGGAGGTTGAGGTAGGAGAATTGCTTGAGCCCAGGAGTTTGAGAGCAGCCTGGGTGACATAGTAAGAACTGTCCCTATAAAAAAATTAAAAAGTAACTGGGTGTGGTGCTGGTGCACCTGTAGTCTCAGTTACTTAAGTGACTGAGGCAGAAGGATCACCTGAACCCAGGAGGCTAAGGCTGTGGTGAGCCATGATCCTGCCATTGTACTTCAGCCTGGGTGACAGAATGAGACCCTGACTCAAGTAAATAAATAAATAAATAAGAATCTCTATATCTGTTCTCCATCTGGGTTCTTTCTAGGTAAGTCTAAAGGAAAACTATCCAGCATTCATAATTGTCACATATAATGGAAAATTCAGAGTCATTGAGAGAGTGTCCACTGTCTCTTCAAGATTCTAGTTCCAACTGTTTAGAAAAGGTTTCCAAGCCACCAGCGATCAAAAGTAAGCCCCCACAACAATGGACGGAATTGCTGTAGCACGTTAGATGTTCTCTTCCTAAAATTCTTTCTCTCATTTCACAATGCAGGTGGCAGAGAGGGCTGCCGACCCTGAGGTCAATCTGCTGTTCTACATTAGGAAAGTCCGTATCCTTTTGTTTTACTGAATCGGTCTAGATTGGGTGGTAAGACAGAACGTGCTGAGACTTATCTAGAAACTTATCACCCACATTTTCTCTAGATAAAAGACCTGGTGTTCCATGTGTAAAGTCTAGTTGGAGTTCAGAGAATGAATCTAAACAGGACAGAGCTATGCTTTATTTGTTGTAGAATCATCCCGTGAGCCCCGAGTGTGCTCACTTTGGGAATAACTTCACGGCCTTTGAGCCTTGTGGTCACCCTGACGATGATTCGGGAATATTCATGTAAAAATGTCCAGTTGAACTTCCGTCCAGCCAAATGTGCAGGGGTGCATGTCACTGTCCATCGTGTCTCATGGGGACATTTTGCAGACTTGTCCTACGCCCTCATCAGAGAAAATACTGTTTTAGAAATATATTTCAAAATTCCAGAGTCTGGTTGGTGCACTCACAGGTCGCCGCCTCTGGCACTGACTCCCCCTCTCCCCCAAGACCCTCTGTCAACAGTTGTTCAAGGAGGCCATCTTGAGTTTGGGTGCAACCGTAGAAAGCTGGTCTCAAGGAAGTGACTATGGCAGCAGTAACCCAAATCTGCATATGGGATAACACACATGCATAAGAGGTAAGATCTGCACATGCCCTACAGCCTACGTGTCAGCACTGTCCCAGTGTCAGGTTCCTGGTTTTGATGTCGTGCTACACTATGTGGAGTTCATCGACTTGGAGATGCTGGGTGATGGGTACACAGGACTGCCTTTATTACTTTGGCAACTTCCTGTGAGGATATGATTATTTCAAAATAACTAATTAAAAACATACACATATGGAGCGCATCACAGTAACACATGCCTATAATCCCAGCATTTTGGGAGGCTGACGTGGGAGGATCTCTTGAACCTATGAGTTTGAGACCAGCCTGGACAACATAGTGAGACTGCATTTCTACAAAAAAAAATCCAAAAATGAGTGGCGTGGTGGTATGTGCCTGTAGTTCCAGGTAGTTGGGAGACTGAGAGTGAGAGATTTGCCTGAGCCCAGGAGGTTGAGGCTTCCATGAGCAATGATTGTGCCACTGCACTCCAGCCTGGGTGACAGAGTAAGACTCCAACTCAAAAAATTATATATGATATTATACATTGAAATATATTAGCCGGGCTCGGTGGCTCAGCCTGTAATCCCGCACCTTTGGGAGGCTGAGGTGAGTGGATTGCCTGAGCCTGCGGGTTGGAGACCCGCCTGGGCAGGCGAGACCTCATCTTTACAATAAAATTTAAAAAAAAAAATTAGCCAGGCGCGGTAACACGCGCCTGTTATTCCGGCTACTCAGAAGGCTGAGGCTGAAGGATCGCTGGAGCAGTGAGACCTGCCTGGGCAGAGAGACCTCATCTCTACAATAAATCAAAAAAATCAGCCGGGCGTGGTAGCACATGCCTGTAATTCTGGCTACTCG